TACATGCAAACTGAAGTTACATTCGAAAATATATGAATAATTAGGCATATCTGCCGGCTAATTTGAAATGATGCAACAGCAGTCCGTGGGTATTTATGGACATAAAATATTTTACTGGATTAGATCGTCTGGACCTTTGCCAATGTAACAAGACCATATTTGTTGGAATATTATCGAGGATTGTATTTTTATGAAGCTTCATCGGTGAGTTGCCTCGATTTTGTAACTGTTTGTTTGTTGGTTGGTGGTCTGACAGAGGCGTTGATTGTACCTGCTGTTGTGATTGTATCTTGAAAGAGTTTGCATAAATCGAATCACAAGAATCTTAGCTTTCCAAAGATATATCGCATCAGTACCTAGTTGTGTACATGACACAGATGTACAGTTAACACTCCGACATCCGCGGTAACAACAAACATCATTTCCTTTTGTGCTAGAAAACTCTTCAATATCCCTTCTGTACCTATTCTATTTCTATAAGCAATGCTCTCTAAAGTGATGTAATTGGAAGTTTCCCTTTCACACATCTTCCTCAGCTTCCCACAACTCTGTGGAGCTCTGTGCTATAGGTGCACCAACATTACGTAACTGTTCCAATTGTGAAACACTGTTAAAGTACATAGCAATTACCCAACTGTTGTACTGCTCGTGACAATGTCCCTGGCACAGCGGCAGCACAGCTAGATCAAACAGTTGTGCTAAATTAAAGAGCGGGTTTTCAGACCAGGCAGGAGTGTTTGATGTGCAGAGATGAGATGCATTATTATGGTAAATAAGCCTCCGTTATCAAGCTATTGCAACAGGGCCCCTGGCTGAGCAGCCCACAGTAGTGTATGCCCTTGGTCAGGCAAATACAGTGCATGTACCCACACATGAAGCAGAAGAGAGCCACAAACACATCTCTGTTGATCCTTTTCACTCCAAACATCCGCCTGCTCTCCAAATGTCAGTCTCAGGCATAATTTGTTTTTAATCATTGGCAAAGAAAAAATGTCACCGTTTTCCAACATGGATGAATTCCGATTGATTTCCAATTTGCATTCAAACTAAATGCAAGTTTTTTCTTTGTTTTTCTGTCTGTGTATAAAAGGGTGCTTGCATCGGTGTGGAAGTTAAGATCAGAGGAAACAGCTGCCCCACAGGCACAGAAACAGACCCTGGAGTCTGTAGGCAGGACACCACAAACCACACTGCTCTGGACTTTTGCAGCTTGTCATGCATTTATGGCACGGAAATACACAACTAAGTCATCACATGCTGGAAAACAATAAAGCCCTGCTGAATAGCTCAAAATCCTAATTGGTGCTACAGGAGGCAACACGTACAAACAAAATATCCTAACATCTACAATGAGGACAACATGGGCATAATATTCTATTCTGCTGAGGTTATTATATGCAGAGTAACGAGTTAGAATGAAGGGGAATTTACCAAACATCTTTAAATCTTATTGTAAATGACATTTTTAGCATACTGAAGTATCCACTTATTATTGAACGCATCTCTTGTACAATGAGAGTAGAGTTTTCTCTCTGCTTCCCATATTTCTACAAGTGTAAAGCACAGTCAAGTTTCAGTGCAGTGATTTGTGGTTGCTATAGAAACACTTAACTGATGCCGGGTCCATTGAAGAAACTGCTTTGAGAGACAGCAGCTAAGCCTTCTCTGCTGGCCTAAACAGCTATTATAAATAGCTATTTTATAATTTTTCACAAATACACTTCATGTATTATAATTTTTTTCCCATTATCTTATTTTCTCATTGCACAGCTCCTGTCTTCCTCTGTTGCTATGCTTCCAGCCTGCAGCGCTGCTTCCAGCACAGCTTGTTTTAAGTGGAGCTCTTATCCAATCAGATTCAGCCCCTATGTCTCTATAGAAGAGATGCCCGAGGTCCTCTAGGTAGACTTTGCAGATTAAAGTAAATGGAGACGATATTGTTGATTGTCATCGTCTTCAACCAATCAGATCTTCAGTTTGACATGTTGTATTCTTTGACGTGCCAGTAGCACTGAGGTAGCCTTCTAAGTACATCTGCATTAACGTGCGCCGTGATTGGTCAGTGGGCCAGCGTGACTTTTGTCAGACAGAAAGCTAGCTAGCAGATCTTAGTATTTAGAGTTCAGGTTGAAACATATGTAAGAGAAGTTATGACATTTTTAGCGTTTTGCTTGGTGTAGATTCTTTTTTTTTTTACCTAGCTATGTTTTTTAACACTCAATGGCTGAAGGAGGAGAAACGGATTTCTCAAGACCAGAAAAACTGGACATCATACCAAAGGGTCGGTCAACCCCACAGCTAGCATGGAAAAGGATTTGTACTAACGGTATTTAACAGTGGCTGACAGCGGCGGAGAAGCGTTGCACATTTTATGGCTAAGAATGAAACTTTTGCTGAGACACGAGTGGATAACTCAACGAACACGTTCGCAGGAGGACCTCTGACTGGAACTGAACCGCACCAATGTTCTGAACAACCGCGTCATTAAACTCTGTTAACAAAGAAAGGAGGATGGACTTTGTCTTTAAGTGCACAGCAGCTTTGGTAGGTGAAGTGCTTTTGTGTTTTTACATCTGCAGTAGCGTTACTACTGTTAGATGTTCTATCGTGTTGTTTTTATGATATGGTTAATATTGTTCCCTCTGATGTGAATAATAGTTGAATGGCTCGTGCTCTTCAGTGTGTGGCGGAATGCGCGTATTAGCGCTGCGGTGTTGCTGGATTGATTTGTCATGCTTTGATGTGACTGGTTCATGTTCTTGTGTTAATTACATTGATTCTGACTATGCATTGTCCGTTAATGACGAAGCATCCCGTCATCGCGGGGTTTGCCGCGATTGTTTTCCCGTTAAGCTAGTTTAGCGTAGCCTCAGCTGTTTTTTGTTTTGTTTTTTTTATTTCCGGGTTGAAAGGTCACACAGCCCGTTGTCTGTTACGTGAGCGCAGTCCACCGAAAACATTATATTTCCCACAATTTAAGCTTCTGCATTTTCCAAATGCACTAGTATTATTCAAACGTATTGTTCGGTTCGTAAGCCTCGTACCAAACGGTTTAATATGAATACGTATTGTTACACCCCTAGAAACAAATAATAACCGTAGCTGTGGCTCATAATTAGGTTATTCAACTGTAGTAGGACAGCACAGAAGGCCCAGGTATAAAATGCATGCAACAACCTCTACAGCTGCGTCGATCACATCAAGATGGCAGTTTTAGTGACCATTTTTCTGACACAGTAAGACAATTTCCTTTATCTTGATCCTTCTGATTGGTTCCAGCAGTCAACATAATTAGAATTTCTGGAAAAATACAGAGATGAGGGCAGTGAGAGGTCTCTAAGGTTAGTGAGTTATATAATGTTAACGCCCTAGTTTTGTGTACTCCACCACTGTAATGTATCGTATTCTGTTCTCCATTGGATTCCTTTTAGGAGCAATTTAAAGATTTCATTGTTGACTTATGAAGGCAAAATGTTTTTTCACATTCTACATTACTGGCGTCTTAACCCCGAATGAACTTGTTGACACCCTGAGATCTTCAAGAGCAGATTTGCTGTCTGTATCTACCAAACATCAAGGTTGGTTTCCAGTGTTGAGCACATGTTTGCAGTCAGGGCCCCAAAGGCTTTGGAATAGTTTACCTAACCTGAGCATCTGGGACGGTTTAGAAATCACTTTGGTAAACTGCCTTTATTCAAAATAAAAATATCTGCAATTCTTTATTTTTGAATGTATTTTTATGTGTACAGGCATTTTTGAGGTTATTTTGTTTAGCTTGTGTGATTTATCCTATTCATACTTTTACATGGATCATTGTTTGAAATTGTTTGTGTGTTTCCGTTTGCAAATTATGAAGATAAGTTCAATATAGACAATTATCATCATTAGTATTATTTTTGACAAAAATAATAGAATTATAAAGAGTAAGATACTGGAAGTAATATGGAGTTTTGAAAAGCGTAAATGGATGTTCTATTCAAATGAAAGACCCGACTGTATCTCTCTCACATTGTAAGACATGGTTAATCAAAAACTTTTGTTAGCCTTTTGTTGATTACTATCTTATCAATTTGAGTAGTATTGGTTCACAATATCTGAAGCACACAATAAGAATGTTAAAACAAAGGAAAAACATCCATTGCTAGCTGATTTCCATGAAAGAAATAATATCCGTTACGTTCAGCACAACTTTTGCATTTCTGTATTTGGTAGTGTTTTCTCACTTTGCAGCATTGTCAAATGATGAAGATTTCATTTTAAGTTAAACGTCGTCATATACATACATGAAATGTGATCTCTGCATTTACCCATGCTCAGCATTAGGAGCAGTGGACTGCTTTGAAGCACCAGGGGAGCGGATTGAACCCCCAAACTTGGTTCCAGGATGACTCGCTCTATCCCTCAGCCAAGTTGAACTCTCAGAGCTGCTGTACAAACGGACGACATCTGAACGCCCAGATGAAGAAGAACAGGGGTGTCAGGAGCTTTACCTGGTTCACTTTTCTCATATTGCATAATATTCACATTACATGAGTCAAATAAGCCATGGATGACCAACTTACTGTTAGATGGATGGAGTAAACAATAGAAAATGCATCACTATTCAGTCCACCTAGAAAGAAAAGGAAAGAGAAAAAAGCACAGGAATAGGAAATTCATGGAGAAAGATTTGTAGAGATGAAAGTTTAATTTCCTTCCCATTAGCATGTTCTGCCCATTGTAATGAGACTGTGTGACAGCTGTTTACCTGTGTTTCCCTGATAGATTGTGGTGGCTAGGAATATTTAAGCCTAAGTGTCAGCTTTTTGCCTTAATATGCGACAAAGCTTCTTCTGCTTTCAGTCGTAGAAAACAAATTCAATCAAGCCACAAATAAATTGCCAGTGTAATTACTTGAGCGAGAGCTAATGTATGCTTCACCAATTAAATTAGTCAACTTAGCGAGAACAGCCACGAAAATAACGAATGAAGAGTCAAGAAAAAGTGGAAAAAGAACCATATCAGCATATTAAAATCATTTATTGTGCTCCAGAAGAGTAATTACTATTTAACCAGAAAGAAAGACAAGTGACAAATAATCTACATTACAAATGCCAGACCAGCTCACGTGGTGCCCCCTGCTTCCGCATGGCATTCAAAGAACAAATCCACCTTTAGTTTTCAGACTGCTAGCAAAAACCTCTCAGGATGAATCTGAGGTTTGGTTGTTGCCGTTTCTGCTGCGTTTTGAGGTTAGAAAATGGCACGGTGCATTACATTCATTCGCAGTGCTTGTTCCTCCCCTCCCTGTCCATCCCGTACACCACAGCACAGACTGTCCACCACGGTCTGGGCAGATTTACACTGGAACAAAAGTGAAGCGTCCCCCTAGAACAGGGTTTCTTAAGTGTCTTCAGTCCCAAACTGTGTGGATTCACACTCACCCTGCTAGACTGGCTCATTAAAACATACTGGTGTTGGGATTCAACAGAAATAACTGAAGAAATGCTACCTGGATTGGTTTTGGAGTTCCCCTCTTTGACTGATGGACGCACAGTTTTAAAGGAAGGTGACACTGGGTAGGAATCCATCTGACCTCTGGGGCATTCTCACGCTTTTATCTGTTGTTGTTTCAAGATGAGTGCTCTTACAAGCACACGGCCAATAAATCCAAATTGACATCACGACAGATGTCATATGACACATAACATATTCAAAACAGCAATTAGGCACATTGCAGAAATAAACACTGATGGATAAAATGTGTACAAGCCTCAGTTATTGACAATGACGTATGGTTTGAACTGAAGAATAAACAATATCAGTACAGGAATTTCCATGTAAATGCACTCAATAAGGTTTAACACATATTTGAAAAGTTGTGTGTTTCACCAAACACACAAATAAACACTCCTACTGCATGCTAAACCCGTTCAGTATCTGAGCACCGAGCATTAAGGAAACATTAGAATTTTCATGGTCTAACAAACATGAATCTAGTCATAAATCAGGGTAAATTTGAAAAAGGTGTGAAAAAAGATATGTTTATGTTGTTATGGTCTAGTGAATTCAAACAAAAGGTGAACCCTTCTCAGAAAAAGCCACAGCATATAAACAGTATAAAAGATGCAATTAAAGTTTAGCTTAATTTCATATTTTATTTGCTTGCTCAACTATCCAGTCATGTTTTACTGTTATTAGTTGTGAGTTTAAAGGCTAATGTTTCCTGTGACCTGCCTTTAAAAGAATTTCAGCAAGCTGGGTTTCAGTGGGGTTTTAGGCTCCCCACGATGGTGTAAATGCTAATAAGTATTCCTTTTTTTACAAGAATAAAGGCCTGGGGAAACACTGAAACACTTGCTTATAGCATCCTAAAACCATTTGCCATCTTTCCCAGTTCATAATTTAGCGATTTATTCCAGATTTGCCCTCTGAGTTTTCTGTTTTTCAAAAATGTATACAGAATATTTAATTCTTTTGATGTGGTCTATTTTGTTCCTCCAGCAAGAATTTGATGCAAATCAATGTTTTCATCTACGTTATGAGCGCATGTCTAGGATTACAACTGTAGAGTGTTACAATTACTGTTAATTGCAACTTCCTTGAATAACCTTAATGCCATCTCTTGAAATCAAAGACATGTTTGTTAATGTGAATGAAACTATTGTTTGTCTGCTCTTACATTTTAAGGTGGATTCAAAATGAAATATCTGATTTTGGTTTACTCCAGATAAACTGTTAGCCCTATTCTGTTAGTGCTAGCCCTCACTGTGAAGCAACATTAAAGGTACCCTGTGGAGTTTTTGACTACCCGTGGTGCTCTTAAGCAATGTTTTGTTGGATTACTGTGCTCTACCAGAACGTGGATAAAAGAACACATATTTTTAAATGCTTTATGAGGTAAGAAATGTATGTTTTTTTGGCCATAGTAAAGTAAATGGCTATTTCGTAGATAACACTGAATAAACCAAAATGAAAAAACGACACAGGGCACCTCATTATCCAATTGGTATCCACATGTGTGTCAACAACAGCAAACAGCTGATCAGACACTTAGCTAGCTAACAGGTAAACATGGAGCCTATAACTTGATAACGCAAACTGTTGAGCGCTAATGGTGAAAATGTTACTCTCCACGCCCAAATCAGGTCATTCACCTGGTCTTTGAACTGTTGTTGTTCTGGCTGAGTTGTTAGTATAGATGAAACAAGTTTGTTATGCAAAGCAGATCTCCTCCAATATAGCTGCCAGAGAGACAATTCTGAACTTGGAACATCGAAATTGCTATGTCAGCTGCATTGTCTGTCCATATTCAATTTTGGGGCTGCTCAAATATACATACTTACTGTAAGTTGTCAAAAACTAATGTTGGCATTGTGTGTTTCTGCAAACCAAGGACACATTGGATGTGGACGTTTTTTGCATTTGGTCAGAGAAAGGGACAAAGTACATAAAGTGACCGTTGAGCTTTTACGTGCTACAATAACGTGTATAAAAAGCACGAAAGTTCACTTGGGGGTTGGAACGGGTGGTTAAAAAAACACACGACTTTCACCCAAGAGACAGCTGTTCATGTCATGTGTAAAACCAAAAATGTAAAAACTACGCTTGTTACATAACATTGTTGAGCTAGTTACGCAACATTACCTAGAAAGACAGCTAACGGCAGTTATTTATTTACGCTAGTTACTTTGTTACAGTTGTTATGTTACATTGTTACATTATTATTTTAACACAAACCATGATGTTTTTTCTAACCTTATCCAAATAGCGTTGTTTCCTAAACCTTACTAATTGTTTCACGATAACCATGTGGCGTTGTTTTTGAAAGGCTGATATAAAAACGTATTTATGAAATGGGTTTTTGGTTCACATTTTTTTCTGGAACTGGGTTGATGTAGCACATGCATTTGAAAGTACATGTGCATTTGTTAAGTCGGGCTCCAGAAGTCTCTTTTGGAATGAATCAACTAGCATGCTATTTATCACTGTTTAGCAATCAGCCACTAGTAATTACCAGCAAGTGCTTCACTCTCGTTAAAAGGTGGGTGCTCTGTCTGTGGTCAGTGAGTGGTTCCTCACAGTCATTCTTCAGGTCTACTGTAGCTGACTCAATTTGTGCTCGAGATTTAATCCGTCTCTCAACACTCTATTCTTTTTCTGGCCTGTTTATGTAAATTGTTGGTGGTACAGGAAGTTATGCTGTGATTAGCTCTCTCTATCTGTAACACCTGTGTTTGTCTTTATGGGTGTAAAGGTCATCCAGTGACCTTGTTTTCAAAGTTGGAGTTTTTTTCTCACTAAGGATACTGTTTCAAGTTGCTTTGGTAACCATGCTTCTTCTCTGTTAGTTGTTATGCACGATACAGCTATTTAATGCATTTCCTCACTTATATAACCCTTGATTTATGAGTCATTGCAGCACATCCTCTCAAATAACTTTTGAATCAGTCTGTCTAGTTTTACATCCTCAAGCAATCCACCAGGACTGTATGAGAAACAAAGACTGTTGTATGTAGTCACCACACATGCTAAATCTTGTTAGCAGTTGCCACCATACATTATGTCCACAACAGCTTCTAGCAATTTCCATTTTTAATCTCAAATATGTCAGGTGCTGACCAGCACTTCTCTCACTTGCCTCACACTACAGTTGGCTTGCATGTATCATCTATCACCAGTCAGACGATTGAATGCATGGCAAGTTATTCATTAGCGTTCATCCTCAACTGTCAACTACTTAGCATGGCCCTGTAATTGCTCGACTATTTACTCATCAGGGCAATTACATGTTTAATTCAATGGGTGGCCCTTGCTTTGCCGAATGTCAATTCTCTGGAGAGCAGTGCTTGAATTGGGCAAGTCCTCACTATTGCACAATAGTGTAATATTATCATGGCTTGCTGTTTACCAAACGCATGTTACTGGTTTAGTAATGTAGAGCCAAATATATTTCTCACCATAATGACATTACTGCATACTAACATGTGTGGACTAACAAGACCTGATGAGCTTTTGTTGTTTAGCTGTTGAAAAGTGAAAAGGTTTATGGGTGCCTTAAATTGCTATATGACAAAAATGCCGGCATGTTGTGAGTCACAATGGTTTTAGACGAATGGATTTAACATGAATCCAAGTGAAAGGCCACCCCCAAATGTGATGGTCATCCAAGCTTGGATCAGACGACACAATGTTTTTGTCTTCTAAAGGGTGTTATCAGCTGTTATGAATACCTTTCCAATGCTTCAGACAAGCCAAACTGCACCTTCCAAATTGTTGAAGTAAAAGTTACCGTTGTGAAATGAAAAAAAACAACTTTAGGTTAAGGCAACAAAACTACTGGGTTAGGTTTAAGAAAAGAATGTGGTTTGGGTTACGCCCAAATTTTATACGGTACATAAACAGCGACCACTTGGGTTGACTCATCCATCGCCCCCGACCGCTACATTATCCCCCTGCTGCCACCCCATGGGGACTTTGTCGATCTATATACTGTGTCACATCATTTACCACTTTGCTCCTGTCGTACGTCTGAAACTTCTAGGTGTATCAGGCCTTTATTCTAACTGGTGTAACCAGTGGAGCTCTACTAGGTTTTACAGTAGGTGAGAATGTGTCTGACACAGATAATCTCCTGGGTGCTACATGTTTGAAAGGGCAACTCCAAGTGAGAAAACAGCTTAGAGAGAGCGCAAGAAGCCACACGCTAGTCTTTTTGTTGCAACGTCAGGAATTGCCCCAAATTTTTGCGTTAGCCTTCAAGTCTGAGTTTGGTCATAGTTGGGCTCATAGTGTGTAGTCTGATCCTAGAACAGTTGACAATGATTTATATTTTAATATGACAATCTATGTATTGCTGTTATTAAAATATGCAAGACTATCGAGCAAACATCAGCATTTTCCTTTTGCTTTAAGGTTTACCTTAACATATTGTGAGATGTATTTCAGTTATTAACTTGGGTTACAAAAACAATGTAATGTGGCTTTTTATATGGATCTAATGAATCTTGAGTCTGAGTCCAGGCAATCAGGGTGTTAATCTATGTACAATATCTTGAGTAGAAACACTTGGAAAGTTACTTAGCACATGGTTGTGTGTAAGGGTGTCTGCACACGTTTTTTATTTGCATGTGTATGTATGTGTGTGGGCAATCAAAATGTTAGAGCTGGAAAAGTTAGTAGCCTGTCGACACAATGCAACAAACCTACAGTACTGATAGTCCCCAGATTCTGGAATCCACACTTTTTTTGATGTTGTTGGCTTGTTTTCACAGAGAAGGGTATTACAAATGGACCAAAAGGATGACGTGTGATAATAGCTTTGGAATCTTCCTTTTGTTGAAATCCCAGATCAAGCCTTGGTGGTTCATTTCATCCAGAGAAACAATCTGGAGCACACAGATGTAATTAGTTTATTCAATTTAAATCGTATCCCAAAAAGCAACAGTCCCTATGAAAGACCAGATTTGATTCTCCTATCCAGCTTGTCTGCCGCAGTGTTATATGGAGTAACAGTAGTCTATGCTCATTATTTTGAATGACTGCACAGTGCCTGTGAGTGAGCCAAAAGGGGCAGGATGTATTCTCACAACAGAGGCCTCCAAACATCTACACTTTAGTGAAAAAAACAGGGAGAAAACAGGGAGACAAGTGTTTCAGCTCACCAAGTAGCATCTCTGCGCTAGCAATCAGACTTCTGTATCTGTCTCAGCACAATAGGCTTGCCATCTAGGGTATTACTCTTTCTCTATTTTGAAGATCACCACTGCAATGACTCTAATGCTACTGGATCTGACTGCAGTCTGCTTTGCTGTATGACACACTCCTACTTCGGAGGCAAACATCGTTAGCCGCCAAGGCCTCACTGACCTCAAGATGTTGGCTATGGCAGACAGTCTTGCAGGAGACAGTGAACTGAGGGCGGTCTGGATGCGAGGGGAAACCACTTGCTAAACAGCCAATCCTGTCAGCTCAGTAGAAAAGATGAGAAAGTAGAGAAACGTAAGTAGAAAAAGAGTGGGGCCAAAAGAAGAAAAGTAGTAGCTCTTTAAAGTGAGGTAAAGAGGGTTGACTAAGGGCTCTCAGCTGCTAAAGGAAACCTTTGTCTTTCTTCCCATAACGCAATGTGCCTCTAAAAATGATCAACCTTGGATAATGATGAAAACTATATAGAAAGTATATCAGGGATTGGCCTACCCTGACCCTAGCTCTTCTTCTTGTCCACCTGCTGTGCATTTCCAGAGAATTCCACCCAATGTGATCTGTCTGTGCTTGGCCTTAGACTTGCAGGAGTCATGTACAGTCGTTGATGTTCAAACAGCTCTACAGAACCTGGCTGGATAAAGGAAAGCTACATGGCCCAGAGATTCACTCTTTTGCCATATTTTCTACTACCATTACCATCTTTTTTTCATACCAATGGGCACCCACTGTGTCACTCAATCAACACACCTTCCAGTGAAAGAAAAAAGAAAGTGGGCAAAGGAACAGTGCAGGTAATTACTTGTATACGGTAAAGTGGTCCAATAGGTAGAATAGCAAAGAACGTTGATCTCAACTGAAAGTACGATGAGTTTGATTGATACAGTGTAATGTGATTTAACCACTATCAAAAAGTAGTACCAACACACAGAGTACAAAACTAGTCCTTATATGCCCAGCTCCACTCAAGCTATAGTATGTTATGCAAGAACGTTTTACCAGATCCCCAGCCCCTCCCCTTTTCTGTTCCCAACTCCAGCCTGCAACATCCACAACCTGGAACTGTATTTCCCGTGGTCCTGCAAGGGTGTGTGTTTTCCTGTAATCCAATTAGGAAATCCATTTGAAATTGCTCCAATGCAAGGGAGAGGGATAAAATTATTCTTAATAATGACATAATCAGCAGGGCAGCCATCAAGCAGATAAATTGTCATGCGCATCGTGCTAAAATATCCAATAATCCTTTGTCCCCCAGCTCTTTGTGTTGAAGTTGGAACTGCCAGAAAGCCAGAAGGTGGATCCCGGATTCCCACTGGTTCAGTCCTGCTGGCAGGTTTGCAGTACAGATGCCCCCCCCCCCACACACACACACACACACACACACCCTAAGAGAAGAGGGCTTTAAAAGCCTGGTGCTTAGTGTACAGATCTAGATATGTAAATAGGTTCTATACAATAAAATTGTTCCCGATCCTCAAAAATAAATGGATGAAAAGTATCTGTGACATTTTTTTTTCCTCTTAATGGTTCCATTGTGCATACAGGGTTTCTTTTTTCCTTGAAGTTTCCAGTCCTTCCTTTGTTCTATTCAACAATTGTTTTTGCTTCATCTTACATAGCCTCCATTTATGAAGTTAACACATGCCTAAATTGGTTTGCACTGCATCTACTCTGTGCTGCACAAACAGAGTAATCTGCTGCACGATGCCAAAGGAAAACAATATGTTTTCTTTCTTTTACAAAGTGCTCCCCTCTTCTTACCTCCGAGGTGTGTCTGATGCTCTGTTCTGCTTCCAGATAATACTGTCAGGCAGTCATTTGTCAAAAGCCTCGAAAGCCATATCTGTTGCTAGAAAGAAAAAGTCGTTTACTGTACCTTGTTTTGCTGCAATATCAGAACAAAAATAATAATAAAAAAACATCCTCCTTTGTTTTAGCTTGTGAGGTTGTTTTTCTTCTTTTTTGTACTTTTTTATTCTTGTCTTTTATTTTTCTACAAAAACATAATTATTCTTCTTTTTTTTCCCTCCGGCCCAAACCCCAGAAATCCTTGACTATATTCCCTCAGGTATTAACAGGGTGTACAATCCCAGTGTAATTCCATGGGTGTCTGGCAAGTCCAGGCTGGCGTTTCAGCTCCTGACATATCTGTGGTTGACAGCATGTTGGCCTTAAGTTTCTGCTGCTGCAGTGGTGGTAGCTTTTGCCTCAGCCATCAGAGTCCTGCCTGCGTGGGTGCATCCACAGGGCTATACCCGGGTGGTGGAGTGTGAGTGTGGGTGCGGATGCGGTAGGGTGTTATTCTGCCCGCTGCTGGGGAAGGTGTTGAAAGAGTGGAGCGAGGTGAGCCCCCCCATGGTGCTGGGGATCATGGTTATGGTGTTTGGTGTCATAAGAGGGATGTCGTCCGGTGAGCGCCTCATGGCCAGAGTGTAGTCCGGCGGACAGGCAGTCCTCAGCACCACGTCGTGCGGGTGCAGTGAGTCGCCCACTCCCCTGCAGTCCAGGTTCGAGTGCTGCTTCATCTGCAGGGACATGATCTCCTCCTCCTGAGTGTGAGCCAGGTCATTGGCGGCGCTCCGCTGGGGACTGCAGCGCCTGTGGACGTCATGCCGGCGCTTGTCCTTCTTGTAGTAAAGGGCGGCGAAGGCCAGAATGTTGAGGAAGAGCAGGGAAGCTCCTACAGCGATGGTCACCGACAGCTCAGTGGAGTAGTCACGCTGGTCCACCAGATGTGGCTGGATGTGGCTGTCCTGTGTCTCGGTGGGGAATGGAGTCGGGTTAGGATGTTTGGTCACTAGAACCTTGGTCTTCGGGGTGCGGTTTGTAGCCTCAGGTGGAGGGATCTAAAGATGGGAGGAATAACGGTCAGAATATAATTGATTTGAAAAGTTTCAACAATGTTCAAGGACAAAAGGAGCATTTGTTCTTCTAGCACTTTAATTTGTATCAGGGTTGGGTTAACAACAATGTAAACATTATATATATAGATGGTTTAGTACCAACCTTGGTTGTGGTGGGTATGAGCTGGGTGACCTCGTTGAGGCTGTGCAGATGAGGAACTAGCTCCAACCATAAATTGACCTGAGGAAAGGGAAGAAAATGGAAAAAAGGGAAATCATTTACTGTCTTCCAACACATTTTCTATTGAAAAAGTCCTTACTTTTCCAAAGTCAAATTTCCCAACATCTTGATAGATTTTCAAACCATATTTGACTTTCTGACTTAAGGTAGGGAGGATGCTGTGAAAGACTACGGTGTTTGTGCCCCTGGATATGGCTTACAGTTACGTCTCCCCCAACAGAGTTTGAATCTAGCTTTCTTTTCTCAATTTGAAGCCTTAGCCAACCAGGCTTTATAGTATAGTCAATCCAGCCGTCAGAGAACTTGCATTTACTCATTTTGTCCGTTCAGTCCTCTCCTCTCCACTCCTATAAACATCTTGCACTTGGGGCAGAGCTGTTTTGCGTTCAGGCAGCTCTTTGTAGGAGTGTGTGCTCAGTGGGTGAACTGCCTGCCTCCTCTAATCGCCATGAAAAATACTGCTTGAATGGTCAATTTACTTTTAGTAATTAAGAATTTCATATTCTAGAAAACAGAATGGGGCAATAGTCTGGAATAAGACTTTTCCATAATCTCTTTTATTTTTTCCATATTTATCCCAACCTGAAATAACTCAAACTAAATTCTATACTTTTCCATACTGCGTAGGTTCCCTGCATGTATGAGGAGTGTCTTGAGAAGAGATTACCAAAATCAATATGACATTACATTATAATGAGAATGCAGTCAACCTGACAATGTGGACCCTAATTTCGCAAATGAATCTCAATGATTCAGAAAAGGAAGTAAAATTAGACAACAAATGAGTTAAAACCCAAAGCTTTTTTTCCAGATCAACAAAAGGGCAAGACTGCCTCCCTCATATAGAGTGTGAGTGCAGGCAAACAACACAATAGGGTAGCTATAACCTTTGTTTATTAGTCTAGTTACATATTTATAATGGAAAGCAAAGTGACTCATGATTTACAGAAGATACTGATAGAGGCTAATGTGATCTGATTGGTCAGTAGTTGGGTTGTTGACATGTTTGAATATATCCTCTTCATTTGTCCTGGTCCAGAGCAGGTTAGCCAAGTAGCATAGATTAACATTGTAATCTATCATTATTAAAAGTTATCCAGCACTGAGATTGTATAATAACCCAAATAGCTGGCTATCCACTGCAAATGTTATCTGATTAAATGGTTATCAGCCCTAAAGATATGGGTTAGAAGGGGCCTGCTTCGCATTCTAGTAGATTCAGAAGGCTGTTATCATCAATTTACAGGTTGATCATGGATACGAATACAAGAAGAAGAATACGACCCTGGCCTCAAGTGGTGTAATTATAATGGGAGCAAAGGAGGAAGTCAGGTGACATAGTGTAAAGAGCAACAACGTCTGTGGAGGGAGTAGTAGATGGGTCTGGGTAGATGGATGGTTCAATACAGGTCTTTAACCCAGAAAACCACTGTTTGTGTCCCATGTAACTTAACATGACATAACGCAACACGTACATAAATTAAACAATGTCCGTATTTAAAACATGATCTCCTTAACCTAACCAGGTAGTTTTGTTTCAATTCACACAGTTGTTTAAAACTATGACTGTGTCACAGTCATGGTGCTGTTTGCACTTTATGAAGCATTAGAATGGAAGTGATAACAACAGATAACAGCATTTAATGGGCTGGGCTGTGCAAAATCTGTGTATTTGATTCCAGGATGGCTATTACAACGCATTCAAATGCATTTAGTGATATCTAACAGTACCTTGTTGGCACGGTAGTGCTCTTTGACCCGGGGCTTCAGTCCAATGTGTAAGTAGAGCTGGTCTTTCTGGTTGTAGCGTGTCCATGCCACCTCTTCAAAACGATTGGGCTTGGTGTGGATGAACTTGGTGTCCTGGGGAACAGGTTGGTTTGGATCCCTGACAAAAAGAGTAAAGGAGGACACAGTTTCAAATGACAGAATTCACAGAGTGGCCAGATCTGCTGATGATTTTACAGCAGAACAATGCACTCCCATGAAAGATGCAATCCTCTCCTCACCAATCAGTTACAGAGATGTCACCATGTAGCTGTCAACTTGAGGCACAGGTAAAACTAAAGGTAAACTAAAGGTGGAGGTGAAGTTTTGGGACTGTCTGCTTATTAAAATGTTAATTCTGTCTTAAGTGTAGCTTCTCCCTCAGGCTAATCAGTGTAATTATGAAAATACTGTAATGTAGTGCTGAGCTGAACCCCCTAGGTTTCCTATTAATCAACAGTTTTTGAGATATCACACCTGATAAAATAAAAAAAAGGTCAAAACGGGTATTTTTGCTCACAGTTGATTAGTTTTCTAAAGATTCTGATTGGATGAAAAGGTCTTAAGATAGCTAACAACCTCAGAAGTTTCCCTCATTTTAAGTTTGATTCAAATGCAAAAAAAAACAAGCATTTCACAGTTTTTAAATGGTGGGTGTCTTGTTGAGAGTGAAGCTATTTATATTAAATTCATAGATAAAAAGAAGCCTCCAGCCAAGCAGTAACTTGGAGTAAAGATGCAGTTAAACCATGCTGATCATTTCCATAAAGCATATGCTTCAGTCGTTGCTATAAACCAAACCAAGAAGTAGCTAGTAAATATTATATACCATCTACTTTTGGTAAACACACAAATGAACTGCACAGTAAATACAGGTCTGTAACCCCATATGAACCCTTATACTCAGTATATACTGAGGAGCTTACAGCGCACATTCCACAGGGGACCCTGTGCTAAAAAGACCCCCTTACACTTAATCTGAGTAGAACAGAGCCAGCCATGTGAGCTATGGAGGCCCATTCAGACCCACTGAGAGCCCCATTGTCTGAGAGCGGCATATGGAGCCAGCCAGACCTCATCAGGAACACGCTTAACCATTCAAATTGGCGGCATAAATCTCCCAGGTACCCAGCATTCCACGTCAATTTTGGGTTATATATGTAGATCATTAGGCCTTTCTCTTCCCCTCAGGCTACTGGGCAGTGCACAGAAAAAGCCAATGTCCCCACATTAAGCTCTCCAAAAACAATTATCGCCATGACTACATGCTCTAAGGCAGCGCGAGAAAGAAGGGGGGTAAAAGATTTTAATTTTGTCCCATCAAGAATGTCACTCCTCAGGCCACTACCATTAATTAAGAATGTATTTGAAGATATGTAGAGGCTATCTGCATAGAATACCAATTACACTGTACAGTCCATAAAACACAATAGCACAATTCACTACTCCTAGTCATCAAGTCTAGGTTAATATTGAGGAAACACGATCACAATGACATTATCAATTAGTTCATGGTCTTAGTTAATGGTAACCGCATGTTCTACACTGCCACAAGAGCTATTGCAGAACAACTGGCGACAAAAATAGTTTAAATAACCCTGTGGCAGACATTTACACTGCTATGTTATGCATATGAACATGTGCTTGTAAATCAGGTTGCTGGACTGGACAGATGATTTGGAAAATACCTTGTTTCAGTCAATAGGCATTCGCTGTGCATTGCAACCTGTTAGAGCTCATGCATCAGGTCAGTAATCAGACTCTGGCCTTATTGTGAAAACATTGCTTTCTTATTTGAACTGTAGTAGTGAGAGAAGGCGCTGTGTCAGTCCTGATTTTTTTAATTCAGATTTCTGTCACAAATTCATATTACCCGATCACCTCTCATTCCCCTCACCTGGTCCTCCACGCCCTTCTCACCTGCAGCTCATTAGCCCTCACTATTTAGGTCCCCTCACTTGCACTTATTCCCTGCCAGATTGTCTTGTGTGTCTCAGCCAAACTCTCCAGCGTTATATATAGTATTGTTCTGATCTGCCTGTTTTCTCGACCTTGGATTTTTGCCTGCCCCTTATTGGATTTGTTTGCCTTTTCCAAGTAAATAAATCTATACCTGAATTCTGTCTCTGAGTCGTGCTCTTGACTTCCCGTACCTGTAATCCTTACAACTTCGCTTTGTGACATGATCTTTATTTTCATCCAGCTGCTCTACTGTTACTGTCCCACTGACTGAAGTTTCTCTGATGCACATACATACTTGTATGAAGCTTATTAGAAACCAAGTTTCCCCTATACATTGCCAAGACACTGGCGCTACCTGGGGAAACCAGATTCCTGTAATCCCCCCACTCCGATCTAATCAACAATCCCAATTACAGAATCCGGCTTTCTCTTATCAATTATCTGGGTCACTTAAACTGGCTTTCTTGTTTATATGACATTTAAGAAGCTTCCTAGAGAACGTGTAGCCCAGTTATTTAAGTGCACCGATTGATTGAAATTAATCTCTGCTATTTTATGATAGCTTGAGAAAAAGATGAAGGTAGCTAATGCAACATTATCAAACATTAACTAGTACAAAGGACAAATGCTGGATGTAAGTATAACAGCCAACACAACTAACATGATGGGGTTTAGTCATTCACAGCTAGAGCTTCAGCATACACTGAGTTTGAGCTGCAGCCACTTCAGTTGGTGCACTTAATGCGTAAAGCTAGACCTACATCTGACCTCAATTAACAGGCTTTGACAGAGCTAGGATGGCACTGTCCCGGTCCATGGGGATAACACATAGAAAGTGAGTTGTATCAGCTCTCAGGAGCCACGTTTGGAGTGTCATCATACCCTGTTTTGGCAAAGTTTGTCCAGTAGGTCATGACCACGGCACTGAGCATCACGTCATTCTTGGAGAAGTTGCAGGGAAAAAGCTCTGTTGGACCAATCATTGGTAGCCCAAACACATATGGGATCTCATCTCCATGTGCTGCGTCTGCCCACGGTGGGACCTAATGAGCAGCAGAGGAATCAGATCAGATCAGTATTATTACATTAATGTGACATAGACAGGACACTGAAAGGCATTCTTTTTTTCACAGAGTGGGTATTATGACCATAGACGGAGACACAGACAGATCAATGTAGCTGGAAAAATACAATACATTTGAGAAAGGAAATGAGATACCTTTTAACATATTGGGCCCATTATTCATTGTATTACTGAAAAATATGCCAAAGAAAATATGTGGGTTTAATCCCTACTCCTCACTTTCTTTCAGGACTGCTTAACTAGTCATTGTAGCTTTGTATAAGCAAAACACTAAATATGCAGAACGTAGTTATACAAGTAAAACTAGGAGTAAAGACTAAGGAAGCCCAACTTAGTCAGTTACAATTATGCAATTGGAATAAAATCAGACCTTGTTCTGTGCCATTATGTGCTGTACCTATTTACTGTCTAAGCTGCCTTCATGTCACGAATCAGAAGCAGATTTCTGCCCAAATCGGACACAAAGAAGCTTATTCTATAACTTTGTGAGGATGTGGCTGTAGGCAGTCTGCTTTTCAGTGATGGTTTCATTGTATTACAGTAATTATAGAAATTTTCATTGTGTACAACAATTATGTTAGTACAGTTAAATCCTCCAGGTGTGTTCAAGCTGAGGAAAATGAAAATCTCAGAGGTGGTGCAATTGTATACAATGTCAATAGTAAGATGCAAACGGATGCAAAATGATGCTGGTTTGCTCCACATGGTGCAAACTGAGGCAAAGACATGCCCGCATGAAGTCAACTGGTGTGGAGAGAAAACTGGATGAACTAGATTTCCTGGTAAATGATGAGATCAGTGCACAGTCTGACCAGGAAAACACACAAAATGTCTTTTCTTTCTGTTTATTTTAAAGATGCTGAATCCCAAATTCAGAGCACGTCTATAATTGAGAGATGTATGTTAACAGTTCAAATAATGGAAACAGTGTTGAATGGTGGGGAATCAGTGGTTGGGTGCTGCCATTACGCAATGATGTATGAGTTTTTTAGATATAAAATGCTGCAATTACCAGTAGTACATGAATCTTACTACTCATATTATCAGTTTGATCTTAGATTATGGATTTGTATGATTTTCTTTGTGAGCAGTAACTGAAAGCTTTACCCAAAGAGATGAGGAACAAGCCAGCAGTATTTTAAGACTTTTATCATATTATTGACGATCCATTAACCAGACCCACCTGTTCTGTCTGACAGTGGTGGTAGAAGGCATAGAAGTATGTTGGTGACCCAAAGCTGGAGTGCAGGTCAGCTGTGGCGATAGCCGGTGCCACCCATTGGTGATCGGTGAAAAGGGCCAGCAGTGTTTTCCGGCGTGTCTCTGGGTTGTGCCTGTCAGCCCAGTCTGTGTACATGAACTTGATGGTCTCTCGGAGGATGTCTTTCCCCTCTGGGTAGCCATACAGGTCATCCACAAAGCTGGACACGGCGTAGTCAAAGTCGTTAGCCTGAACTCCGTTTTCATTGTCCACAATAAGCTCCACGAATTTAAGGCCCTCGCCCTGGTTAACTCCCAGCATGATATCGTAGTTGAGGAACTCGCCTTGAAAGAGATGGTGCAGAATGGTTGTTAAAAGTACAAATATAAGGCAAGCACATTGTTAGAAATGGCTGTCTCTTAAGCAAAGTGAATTGATACCTTGCTCCATAAGTATCTGAGGGTCATCAGGTATAACATCTCCATCAATAACAGGTCCAAAGGCAATATGGTAGCGGGCTGGCTGGATGTCTTGATCCACCAGCTCCTTGTAATGTTTCCTCTGAAGGCACCCCACCAGCTCCACAGTGTCCCCCAAGTTACAGCCCACCTTACGGGCCAGCATCCGGGCATACTTGGCTGGCTGAAAACTGACAGCCCAGCTGGACAGAGCTGTGCCGCTCTGGGCAATGGCCCTCTGGAACAGTCCTGGAGACAAAAACAACAGAGCAGGAGACAAAGCAACATATTGAAATGATGGAATCTCTGCTGTTACATAAAGTAATATACAACGTATAACTTGAGGAAATCAGGCAGGTGTCGAGATGAAGTATTAGGACTAAAAATAACTTCCTTTTGAGGCAAGGTGCTAGAAATATTCATTTTACCTTGATACACTTAATAAGGTTTATGTCACACTCATCAGTTTCTGTCTGCAGTTTTCAGTCTGCTTGGTTGAAGGGTAAGGCTTATGATATTCTATATGAGTTTCATCGATGAGCCACACCGTTGCACTGGGTGACAATTTCAAGAATCAGGGTTAACTTCATCGTCATTCAGACTATTCACTGGGCAAGTGCACAGCAGAAGGAAAGACGGTTGCATCCGGCTCACAGGTTTAATAAACAAAGCTAATTCTGTCATTCGGCAGCCTGAGCTTGTGTAGTTGTACTTTAAGAAGGTGATCAGTGAAGAGGCTTATAATGCATCTGTCACTGAAAAAAAGCATGTACATTTATCTACAGAAAAGGTCAAAACAACGTGGTAAAGCTTATTAACCTGAGTGCATCGTTTTGTTATTTCACCTATATTTACTTTTGACAAAGACAAAAGAAAACGTCTGATATTAACCCCTAAATATACACAACTTCTAGTTTATCAGAATTTGAAAACCAGGATGAAGTAACTTCCCACTGTCTGTTGTACAGTTCTATGATCACATCATTTTCCTACAAATTCTTTAATATGTGGGTCCGTCAAGCAGAAAAAACTACTTCTATCAGCCCGGTCCATAGATAGATAGATTCTTTATTTGTCCCTGTGGGGAAATTGATTGGCAGCACAATCACAATAATGAAGAATCACATCAAAAAGACAACACATCTAATTTTGAATAACTAGTTCAGACTGAAATGTGTCCATTCTGTCCTTTCTTTCTTCATTCAACCTCTGTAAAACAACGGTCAAATACACAGCCAGTACAGTTTACATGATAACTTTGTGGTAATATGTTTTTTGGACCTGTTGAATCTCTGTTACTGCATCAAACAAATGAATGACTGGATGCAGATACGATTGAGATCATTGTCTTTGAACCACAGAAGGAAAGACAGAAGGTTGGCTCTCACCTTAACTTCCTGTCTCTCATGAATCAGAATGAAGCCAGAAGTCTTGGTGTTCCTCTGGATATTAAATTACAATAGCTGCTACAATAGCAGGTGGTATTAGAAAAGCCATGGCAGACCACATTCAGGTCAAAGCTATAACTATGCTATAGTACGTGTAATGGCTTAAAACATATTTTTTTAGCTTAGCTTTTAAATAGCCTACATTTAAACTGGATGGCTATCTTTTCTATATCTTGCCTTTACTTTTTAATTGTTAATGTTTTATTCATATTTGTATTATTCTGTGAAGCACTTTGAATTTCCCCACTTATGAAATGTGCCATACAAATAAAGCTGCCTTGCCGAGTCAGCAGGCAGAACACATGCGAGATATAGGTTGCTAGTGGCAGTGCAAATTACGTTGCCGCGGATTTAAACAAATTTGGTATGACCTGACAGGTGAGGGTCTCGTGACCAACAGCCCTCACCTGTCAGGTCATACCAAATTTGTTTAAATCTGCGGCTAAAACTAGTTCCAAACAAATGCACTATTTCCTCCGATGTGAGTGATATTGTCTAAAAACTGCAGTGCTCGGCTGTTTTAGGAAATTACTAAGCCTTTTTTTAAGGATAGAAATTTCTGTCCCATTTTTAAATCTTCCCAGTGACTCAGTGAGCTTGGGGCCGAGAGCCACAGATGGGTTAGGAAAATCAGAGAGTTCTGAGGAAAGGATCAACACATTGTTGGTTTTGGTGCTGAAGAATAACACTAGCCATATTGTTACCTAGATAGATTTTTTTGAATCAAATTTTTGAATATAAAATTGAGTGCGTCTTTAAAACCTGTCCAATCGCCTCCTTGTAGTCGTGGTGCATTTACACCAAGCATGCTTGGAGCAGTTTATATGTTATACTTTTAGGAGTGTTTCGTCTTGTCTAGTAGTTTGTTTGACCGGGTGAAAACAACACTCTTTGAATTTATCTCACTATCACAGTTGGGTGTTGTAGTTATAGTTAAAAGCAGAGTTGATAATATTGAGAAACAAGCAAGAGTATGCTAGATAGATGGACGTAGCTAGCAGTACTAGCTCCAAAGGTTGCTCAATCTAGCAAGAAAGAAAGTCGGCAACACAGTTCCTTCAGGACTCCCTCCAAAGCCACTCACCCAAAATGATCATTATCAACATTAACAACCAACATGGCTATTGTTAGTACTCACAGCTGTCAAGCTATGAGCTTGTGGAAGACAAGATTTTTTTTTTTGTCACAGCAATTATATTCATTGATTGCTGTCAGGATGTAATGAGGATTTCAACAAACATATCGAAAATGTTGCTGCAGAAGATTACCAAACCTACTTTTAAATGCAGGAAAAGCAGCTCATGTATGCAAAGAAACATTTCACTCAAGACACACAATCATTAAGAACCCACAACCCGCTGGCGGGATGGAAAAGCATGTTCTCCTAAAAACAATTGCCAAAACTACACCATTTATCATAAACAGAAGCTGGTCCTTGAACACATCATGTGTGACGAATGCTTCCAGAAACACTTAAAATTGTGATATTTCATTACAAATATTTTCAATATTCTACATGTAGAGGTTTGCCCAAATAAACCGTTTACTTTCAACAGATCCTATAAAAAAACATGAAATTCTGCACTCCTCATTGCAACTAGGAAGCTATGATTGATTCGGTGAGACTAACAGTCACGTGACAAGAACTCAGTGAAACTTTGAATGAATGGCAGGCTGCTGAACTCAGAGCGGAGAGGAGAGGCTGGAAGTACAGGTTGTAAAAGTGTGAATAACTTAATATATAAAGCATGTGGAGTGTCCATTGTTGTATATAGAATCCATTATTTTATAAATTTTTGCAAAATATATTATCAAAGAAATTCAACTTGTGTTTTTTTCTTTTTTCATGATTTATGGCATTGTTATACTGCACAACAGACATTTTTGACTTCTCTCTACCTCTAGCCATGATTTTGATGTTTCCATAGAGGAGCAGGACTCACATATTGCAGTAAACTGTGTTGTGTTTCCTCTGCACTAAGCTCTCACCAGGTCACACACGACTGAGGTGCACATACAGTACTGCATGCATACTGGTATATTCATGAAGGTCCCACGTGAACTCCTCGGTGACTCAGGATCTTTACCTTTGGTAGAGTTGCTCCAGCGGTTGCCCTCGGAGTAGTGAGACAGTGTGAGCAGGTTGACACAGGAAGCCCCAGCGCCGGAGCCAAACACAGTGATACGTAACGGGTCGCCACCGAATGCAGCAATGTTCTCACTGGTCCAACGCAGAGCCTGGATCAGGTCCAGCAAGCCGTAATTCCCTTTGGCGGCCTGGTCCCCTGTGCTCAGGAATCCTGCACGAGAGGACAAAGAACAGAGGATATGTTAGTTGTATCCTTCTTTTCATTGCTATTAGTGTCTTAAGCAGAAGGGTTCAGTAGCAATAATGATTACTTCACCCAACCAACAACTGACATGAATGTATACAAGAGATCTAATGGCAATATCATGTATAGCATTTACTGTTTTGATGGTTTTTCATTACTGAAAGGAAGAGAGGTTGTAATGGTGCTACTCAAACGCCTCAAATGTAGATATGATTCCTGTAAGAAGCCCTACCTACACACGTTGACATAGGAGTTCACAACCAATACATTATTCATTGGTGAAATAAATATACAAAAGAAGAGGTTTTACAAGGAAATGTTATACTTCAAGAAATAAAAGGATTCTACAATTGAATCTTCATGAAAAAGACAAGTGATGAAGAATCAGGAGGACAGGACAGAGGAGGGGAGCTGATGATGGTCATTAGACATAAGTAAGTTTTCTCTCTGTAATGTTGTTACTATGGAAATGTTCTGTAAGAGCATCAGACCATAGTCCATAACTATGTATCTATGTAATTATCAGAAGCAGGACCCTGCGAGTTATTGATTTTGCTCCTACATTGTCACCACGAGGCCAACATTGATAGATGAGAGGGAAGAAGACACAGGGTAGGAAATTTACATATTTTTTAGGGGGCAATTTTTGCCCCCACTGACTGAAATCCAGGGGCATTTTCAAAAAATTGGGGGCACTTTTTGAAACTTGTGAAATAACATAAAACCTTTGTTCAAAATAATAAATATACTTATTTAGGCTTACAATATATGAGCAATTGTCATCAAATGGCAATAATAAGACTATTAGGCAGTAGTCTACAGATTCAAAGTGTTTTCTTAGATTTTTTTAACAAAAAAAAAATCAGGTGGGTTTTGATTTTTTTTAATCAAAACCCACCTGTTCAAAACTGCTTTTAATGTGACCATTATTTTGTATTTTATGTTTTTAGTGTATTGCTTTTATATATGATGATTTTAATGTAAAGTGTCTTTGAGTATTATGAAAAGCGCTATATAAATAAAATGTATTATTATTATTAAAAAACAAACATAAATCAGACAATCATATTCAATTTTATTCTTATTTCTTTGTGGTTATTTATTGTTATTATTACATTTTTTAAACAACTATTAACAATTATTAAGTCAACGATGCCTTGATTACATATGCATTAGTCATTGTGTGGAATTTTTGAGAAAAACATTTTTATAGCACCTTAAAAATTAAAAAAATGTGCCATTTGAAGGTACAAATTCAGTTCATTGTTTTTGCTTACTAAAATATCTTAATTGACTGTCAGTCAGGTATTATTAATTTCCAGCAACCCTCAAATCAAAGAATAAAGACACTTTACGCACAATTTAGGTGTATTTTCCCTTTAACTCACGAGATGCAGGTAGCATGTTTTATACTTAACGTGAATATAATTCATTTAATCTAATTTCCATTATGCAATATGTATACTTTGTTGGCATCTTATTCTGAAAACCGGATGTTCGTCTGAAGAAACCGGATGTTGGCTCCACGTTGGCTCCCGATCTGCGCCATTTGAATGCGTTTACCGTGAATTTCAGCATATAGGTGCACTAAAATTTAAGTGTCTGCTGAGTTGACCGCAGTCACAGGTCTGATTAAGAAGTGCACATTTATTTATTCGTTTAGAACGTTCGGTTCTTCACTCACACGCAACATCAGTCAAGGCGAAAATCTAAAACATTATATGGCAACTGGACCGGGTCATATAGGCTACGATGTTTTTGACAAGTTCGTTAAATTATCATTATTATTTGAGGAAGTTATGGGGGCATTTTTCCCCTCCTAGTGATATCAGGGGCAAAATTATATTTCTTAGGGGCAGTTTTGCCCTTTGCCCTTGTGTATTTCCGATGCTGAGAAGACATGATTTCAAATAGATAACTCGTTCTCACTGCTAACGCTTGGTCAGTGTCCCTCGGCGTCTGATACCAACGCACTGAGGCACTCTTTAGTGTCTGTATTGCTTTCAACTAACTCTAATGTAAAGCCGTCTTCTAACGACGTGGATCATTAGACGCTCAGAGGAACTGATGGAGTATGAAGATGTAAGAAGTCTGCTTTGGGAGGAGGTAGGGGTAGTTTTGTTGTGTAAAGTAAACCTCAAAACAAAATAAACCTTTGTCCAAAACTCACACTAGAGGGGAACCTAGAGGGGAACCTAGAGGGTTAGGGTTTGAGGCATAGGGCAAGTTGGGAATGAGATTCAGATAAAAAGTAAAAATATCAAATCATTTGAGGAACTTTCTCATTTGGGAAAAACAGTGAATTATCCAGAATAAAATGAAAAACATGAACACCATCAGGGACACAACTATTTAACTATATATGTTTTAAACTTATTTCAAAAATCTACTTTTGAAACATCCAACCATAACTAGATGATGAGGCATATTCCTCCTTTGTAAAAGGAAAATCAACAAGCCTGGCTGTTTCATCATTTGCTGCAATAAAACAAGAGTTATTGCCCTGTAGGGCCACTTAAAGTATGGATACGCTAAAGATAACACTGACAGGGAGAGATGTGTCTAAATCTATGATCCAACCTCAAATAGAACATACAGAGAGATGATGACATAGAGTCGTGTGCCACAACAAAACATCTTTGTTTTTTTCAGACCGAAACAGATTTGTTTTCTCGAAGCAAAGACATAAAATGAATAACTTCCAAAATCCTCTCAATTGGCCCAAACAAATCTGATGTAAGTCGGTTCCTTTTCTATTTTCAGAGAAAAAAACATGTTGTGATGGAGAGTTTTTAGCATCTAACTGACATCTAACCGTGTATAATTACAGTTCAACCCTACCAGTGTTGACTTAAGGTCTTCTTATGTTGTGATACATGTGGAAATGCACATTGATAACTGATGTCTTTACTAGTCACCTTAACTTAAGTACAACACGCATCGGCCATATCGTCAGTGACGGGCACAGCAGGGCTGACTGTGTGTGAAAATGGACCGAACGTCTTCAGTAAATGTCATGTGCTTTTTCAAATGGTGATGCTGTTAAAGGATGGTTTATTACAACCTACTCATTGTTGTAGTTTTGTATTGATTGAGATAACATTGTACCCACCAAAGGAATTTGAACTAAAATGTCAGATTGGGGAAGAGTCAGACTGTAAAACAGGTTTAAACAAGACAAAATGAATCCAGATTTCTGTAAAAACAACACGTATAAAGAAACTACAGTCAGTATGGAAGGTCAGAGTTGAACAGACTGTCACACTTGTGCTTCTCTCCAACTCAAAACTTTTGAGCAGTGTCGCCGTGTTCCCACACCTGAGCAATGAGCACGGGAAGCACAATTTAAAAAATCACCCGTAAACTACAAAAATAACACACGAGTTTTGATAAACTGGTCTAAACTGCAACTTAATGCAACAAGTAATAATAATACAAGCAATCATACATGCTTTAAATGTCTGGTCTTTTTTCTGGGCTGATGTAAGACATTAGCATGCATTACATGTCGTTCTATATGCAAGTCCTTCCTCTCCATCCCAGCATCAGTCTTACTCCACCTGCATCGACACCTCCATCTATTTCCCTTGTCCAGTTAAACCTCTCAGGTACTCCTGCTCAATGCAGTTGCATAAAGATCCAGTGCCGGCGAGATCTGCATGTTCTAACGAGACAAGGCACCTCAAGTGCACCCACAGGAGAGCTCTGCCCTTTTAGAGCAATTTCATGTCCACCACTGCCACCACCACCACCTACTTCTCCCTCTGATTTCCATGTTAAAAGCTCCATTACCTGCTACAGGCGTCCAGGGAGTCCCCCACACACAGCCACTAACCCCACCCGTGAACCTTCCCCCTCACATATTTCCTCGCCCATCCTCTTTCATGTTCTTGCGCTCACAGTCACTCCGTGGCTAAGTGGAGAGCTCATAAACCAGTGTCAGTCAACACTACAGTTCATTTCCACAGGGATGCATTCAGGCCACATGTATAGACACTTGGAGCAGTGCCTTGGAGGGACGACATGCTCCTGTAATTCCAGAGTGGAATGATGTCACCACTGCTCTGTGAAGAAACCTGTATGGTGAGCCCCCATTCTATTTTACATAGAAAGAGCATATCATATCTTTTAAATTCATATACATTAATATTTCACACTAATATAGATCAATATGACTGATGTTTGTATGCGTGATAGCACATTAATTGTGATTATAGTAACCATAATGCATATATTATGTTTCAAATGCTCATAATTGCTCTAATGTTTTACAGAATGTTTTACAGCCCTTTCTGACGGGAAACTGAAGCTGTAATTAAGCTAAAAAGATTAAAAAAATTAAAATACAACTTAAAATAAAGGACCAGCTCTTTTAATGTTAAGAATAACTGCTGGATTTATTTATTTAAAAGTATGCCACATCTATATACAGGACACACACACACACACACACACACACACACACACACACACACACACACACACA